GTACTATGTTCCAGTCAGCCCTCCTGGCCGTATATCACTCACTCATTTACCCCTGTCTCACCTATGGAATTTGTGCATGGGGCTCAACAACAACAAATCATCTCAGACCATTAATTACCCAACAAAAGGCTGCAGTCAGAATGATGATAAATTCTGACTCCAGGCAGCATACTTCTCCAATATTCAAAACTCTAAACTGACTCACCATACAAAACATCCATACTTATTATGGTTCCTACTACATACATAGAACACTAAACTCGGATATAAACCCTTCCCTCAAACTTCTCCTTACCAACCTCAACGGAACACATGACCATAACACAAGGCACAGATCACTCTGATGTTTCCTGTGTCCATCTCACACTATCTAAAAACTCAATTCACATAAAAGGCCCAAAAATCTGGAATTCATTACCTGTGAATACAGTGGACCCCCGCATAACGATGGCATCGCATAGCGATTTTTCCGCATAACGATTACTTTTATCGCAAAATTTTTGCCCCGCATACCGATTAAAAACCCGCATACCGATTTTCGTCCGAGACGCGTCCAATGTGCCCTCACATGTGCCGGCCGTCCCATTGTTTACCAGCCAGCCTCCGCGGTAACATCCAAGCATACACTCGGAATATTTCGTATTATTACAGTGTTTTCGGTGGTGTTTCTGGAAAATAAGTGACCATGGGCCCCAAGAAAGCTTCTAGTGCCAACCCTGTGGTAAAAAGGGTGAGAATTAGTATGGAAATTAAGAAAGATTTTGAAGGGTTTGGGGCTAACCCTGAGAAGCCTATGCCAGTTGTGGAATCCATTGTGCCTACTTCAAAGATTAAGGAAATGTGTGCAGAGTGGTTTGAACTGCAAACCTTTATAGATGAAAATCACCCTGACACAGCTGTTGCAAGCCGTGCTTGTGACTATTTCAATGACAATGTTATGGCCCATTTTAGGAAAGTCTTGAAGAAACGGGAGGTACAGAGCTCTATGGACAGATTTGTTGTGCGACAGAGGTCCAGTGACTCTGAAGCTGGTCCTAGTGGCATTAAAAGAAGAAGGGAAGTAACCCCAGAAAAGGACTTGCTACCTCAAGTCCTAATGGAAGGGGATTCCCCTTCTAAACAGTAAGAAGATAATGCTCTCCCCTCCTCCCATCCCATCAATCATCACCAGATCTTCAATAAAAGTAAGTGTCATGTAATTGTGCATGCCTTTTTCAGTTTGTGTGTATTAAAATTAACATTTCATGTGGTAAAAAAATTTTTTTTTCATACTTTTGGGCGTCTTGCACGGATTAATTTTATTTCCATTATTTCTTATGGGGAAAATTAATTCGCATAACGATTATTTCGCATAACGATGAGCCCTCTTGCACGGATTAAAATCGTTAACCGGGGGTCCACTGTATAAAAGAAATATAGTGGACCCCCGCATAACGATATTATTTCAATCCAGAAGTCTGTTTGGGTGCTGTTATAGACCGATTTTGTTCCCATAAGAAATATTGTGAATTAGATTAGTCCGTTTCAGACCCCTAAAAATACACCTACAAAAGCATTAACAAAAATACGCTTACATAATTGGTTGAGTTGGGAGCTGATCGTTATGCGGGGGTCCACCGTACAGTGGACCCTCGACCAATGATATTAATCCGTTCCGGAGAGCTCATCGTTAATCGAAATTATCGTTAGTCGAGTTAATTTTCCCTATAAGAAATAATGGAAATCAAATTAATCCGTTCTGACACCCCAAAGTATTGAAAAAAAAATTTTTACCACATGAAATATTAATTTTAATACACACAAACTGAAGAAGGCATGCATAGTTACATGACAGTTACCTTTATTGAAGATCTGGTGATGATTGATGGGATGGGAGGAGGGGAGAGTGTTGATGGTGTTAGTGTTTAGAAGGGCAATCCCCTTCCATTAGGACTTGAGGTGGCAAGTCCTTTTCCGGGGTTACTTCCCTTCTTCTTTTAATGCCACTAGGACCAGCTTGAGAGTCACTGGACCTCTGTCGCACAACATATTTGTCCATAGAGGCCTGTACCTCCCGTTCCTTTATGACATTCCTAAAGTGTTTCACAACATTGTCAGTGTACAGGTTGCCAACATGGCTTGCAGTAGCTGTGTCAGGGTGATTTTCATCAAAAAAGGTTTGCACTTTAAGCCACATTGCACACATTTCCTTAATCTTTGAAGTAGGCAACTTCTTCAATTTCTCTATCCCCTCCTCTGAAGCAGTTTCCTCAGGTGTGGCCTCTTGCTGTTGAAGATGATCTAGCAGCTCATCAGTGGTTAGTTCTTCATTGTCCTCCTCCACCAACTCTTCCACATCCTCCCCACTAACCTCCAACCCCAAGGACTTCCCCAATGCCACAATGAATTCCTCAACTGGCATAGTGTTCCCAGGGTTAGCCTCAAACCCTTCAAAATCCCTTTCGTCTACACATTCTGGCCACAGTTTTTTCCAAGCAGAGTTCAAGGTCCTCTTAGTCACTTCCTCCCAAGCCTTACCTATGATGTTTACACAATTGAGGATGCTAAAGTGATCTCTCCAAAACTCTCTTAGAGTCAATTGAGTTTCTGAGGTCACTACAAAGCACCTTTCAAACATAGCTTTCGTGTACAGTTTCTTGAAGTTTGCGATGACCTGCTGGTCCATGGGCTGCAGGAGAGGAGTGGTATTAGGAGGCAAAAACTTCACATTAATGAAGCTCATGTCCGCAGAAAGTCGCTCTGCCAAGTCTGAAGGATGACCAGGAGCATTGTCATTATAATACCAGGAGGTGCTTAAGGTCCAATTTATTTTCCAGGAGGTAATTTTTCACAGTGGGGGCAAATGCATGGTGTAACTAGTCATAGAAAAAGTCCCTAGTGACCCATGTCTTACTGTTTGCCCTCCACAGCACACACAAATTGGCCTTGAGGACATTGTTTTTCCTGAACACTGGGAGTTTGAGTGATACACCAATAAAGGCTTCACTTTGCAATCGCCACTAGCATTGGCACACATCAACAGAGTAAGCCTGTCTTTCATAGGCTTATGTCCTGGGAGTGCCTTTTCCTCCCGAGTAATGTAGGTCCTGCTTGGCATTTTCTTCTAAAACAGGCCTGTTTCGTCACAATTAAACACTTGTTCGGGTTTCAGTCCTTCACTGTCTATGTACTCCTTGAATTCCTGCACATATTTTTCAGCCGCTTTGTGGTCCGAACTGGCAACCTCACCATGCCTTATCACACTATGTATGCCACTGATTCTTAAATCTCTCAAACCAACCTTTGCTGGCCTTAAATTCACTCACATTACTAGTTGCTGCCATTTTTTTAATTAAATCATCATGCAACTTCCTAGCCTTTTCACATATGATCGCTTGAGAGATACTATCTCCTTCTAACTGTTTTTCGTTTATCCACACCAATAACAGTCTCTCAACATCTTCTATCACTTGCGATCTCGGTTTCGAAAACATAGTTGCACCTTTGGCAAGGACAGCTTCCTTGATTGCCGTTTTCTTGGCCACAATAGTAGCGATGGTTGATTGGGGTTTTGTGTACAACCTGGCCAGCTCGGAGACACGCACTCCACTTTCATACTTAGCAATGATCTCTTTCTTCATATCCATAGTAATTCTCACCCTTTTTTCTGTAGGGTTGGCACTAGAAGCTTTCTTGGGGCCCATGGTGACTTATTTTGCAGGTGCAATCACTACAAACGCTGTGATAATATGAAATGTTCCAATTGTATGTTTGGATGGGACTGTGGTGGCTGGCTGGCTTGTAAACACTGGCACCCACGGGACAAGTGAGGTGCACTCAGGCCACAAGTGGACGCGTCTCGAACGGAACAAATAGTGTTGGTCGGATTTTTTAGCGCTAGTCAAGGCAAAAATTGTGTTAAAATGTATCACTAGTTGGATTTAACGTTAGACGATGCCAACGTTGGTCGAGGGTCCACTGTACTGTCTGTTTATCAGTTCAAGACTTCTTAAAAACCACATACTCAACCATAACTAAATAAATACTGAATAACTGAATCTCATATATGTATAACCTGTGATCCTATCAAACGTTTTTTTTTTTTTAATTACATTACCTAATAGAATACTCCATTCTCTTGAATGTACAGTAACTCATCTAATGACCATATGATCTGTTTCTGCACTACAAATCATTGATTTTACTCTATCTGATTCGATTATATTATACATTGTTATGCTACAAATTTGTAGAACTTTAATGCTTCTTATTTGTACTGCATGTTGTAATTTGTTTACTGTAATTTTTACCACTGAATATATCATTGCTTAGTTAATCTTAAGTTAATTTTAAGCCTGCCCATAATGCTCTGCATACAAGGGACTTTTGGCATGTACACCCAATCACTATATTTCTTTGTACAACTATGTATCATGTCCAAATAAATAATAAATAAATAGTCACTGCCTTTGCAGAGGTGCCCAGATATGACAGTTTAGATATCACTCCAAAGAGCCAGTATCTCAGACCCCTCCTTTAAAGTGCAGCATTGTACTTCCCACTTCCAGGAATAAAGTCCAGCAAGCCAGTTTCCCAAATCCCTTCACAAAATACAGTGGACCCCTGGTTAATGATATTTTTTTCATTCCAGAAGTATGTTCAGGTGCCAGTACTGACCGAATTTGTTCCCATAAGGAATATTGTGAAGTAGATTAGTCCATTTCAGACCCCCAAACATACATGTGCAAACGCACTTACATAAATACACTTGCATAATTGGTCGCATTGGGAGGTGATCATTAAGCGGGGGTCCACTGTATAACCCAGCCCACATTCCAACAGCTCGTCAGGTCCCAAAAACCATTTGTCTCCATTCACTCCTATCTAATGTGCACACACAAATCTGCTGCATGTCCAGGCTCCTTGCACACAAGCATTAGGATGTTTGGTAAGTATTTTCAGTTTTATGGATGTTTGACATTGGATGTTTATTTTTTAAAGAATATTCATTCATTTTGCAGGGAATCACCATCAAACCTCTTACAATATTGCTGGGGGTGAAGAGGGCAGAGAAGCGCACACTTACCATGAATGAAAGACTCCACGAGAGGGTAAATGATCTCAACTTTTAATTGCTGTACAGTAGGTCCCACTGAAAATGTGAATGCATTCCCAAAAATCTTTGATTAGTATTGTTCTGGACTCTGAACCTAGACATCCATGTTGTAATAGGAAATGCACTCTGAGCCATAATGTTCCGTATCTGATTTTATATATATATTTTTTTTTTTTTTTTAAATAATTGGAGATGCACTCCCAAGCCATATTTTATCTGATATCTTGTTTAACAGTAAAATATAAGGATACTGTATAGCTTTCTGAGTCTTTCTTTCCCTTTTTTTTCCTTCCACTTTCCCTCCTACCTCACATTCCTTTCTTCTCTCTCCCATTCACTGTTATCCTTCGTGTATGACACAACGCACTTGATTTATGTTCTCCACCATCTTGCAAATGATAAAATATAAGGTGTCTGGCCATATGGCACATAGGGTGTTTGGAAGGAGTGGCTTTGGTAATTCACCTACCTACCAGACTCGCCAACTTCTTCCTTTGTCCTTTGACCATTATCCATCACTAGGGTCTCGGTTTCCTTTCCAGACTACAAGGCAGCCTACTGGCTTAAGTGGCATACCAACCTAGCTTTCCTGCAACCAGTTCAAAGCCTCTCTCCTAGGCTCCCAGGCATCTCTCCTGCCTCGTTGTATTAACGAACATTTTTCCATCTTTCCCTCCCCACAAGCCACTAATGTATACTAATCAGAATGTATATAATAAATCCACAGTTCTTTACTGAGCTTTACCAAACAAATGTGAGCTCTGTACATGTAAAAAATTATCATATACAGTGGACCCCTGGTTCACGATATTAATCCGTTCCTGAGAGCTCATCGTAAACCAAAATTATCGGAAAGCGAATCAGTATTCCCCATAAGAAATAATGGAAATCAAATTAATCCGTGCAAGACACCCAAAAGTATGAAAAAAAACTTTTACCACATGATATATTAAGTTTAATGCAATATAATAATTACAATAACAATAATGACAATAGAATAATCACAATAGAATACACCTACCATCTAACTTACGACCTGCTCGACTTACGACCACTCGACTTACGATCGTGTTTTTTATGCCAAATTTCTGGGAAATAAACAACTATTTGCGTTGTACACAGTGTTTATCCTAAACCTTACAGTATAAAATACAGTACTAACAACATAAAAAGTAAAGTAAAACATGAAATACCAAAATAAAACAATAAAATAGTCATTAGAAAAATGTTTTGTTGATATTCAGTGGTAAAGTTCGACTTACGACCATTTTGACTTACGACTGGTTTCTCGAAACCGAACTCGGTCGTAAGTCGGACGGTAGGTGTAATTGACACTTGCCTTTAATGAAGATCTGGTGATGATTGATGGGATGGGAGGAGGGAAGAGTGTCGAAGTTTTTAATGTTTAGAAGGGGAATCCCCTCCATTAGGACTTGAGGTAGCAAGTCCTTTTCTGGGGTTTATTTATTTATTTATTTAGTAATTTTAGCATACATACAGAGGTACAAAAAAATACAGGACCACTAGGACCAGCTTGAGAGTCGCTGGACTTCTGTCGCACAACATATCTGTCCGTAGAGGCCTGTACCTCTCATTCCTTTATGACTTTCCTAAGGTGGTTCACAACATTGTCAGTGTACAGGTTGCCAACACGGCTTGCAGTAGCTGTGTCAGGGTGATTTTCATCAAAAAAGGCTTGCACTTCAAGCCACTTTGCACACATTTCCTTAATTTCAGTAGCCCCCAGGTAACCCTTGGTCTCGATGGGTTGGCACTAGAAGCTTTCTTGGGGCCCATGGTGACTTATTTTGCAGAAACAAGCACCAAAAACAGTGATAATATGGATAATATAGAATGTACCGAATGTATCCTTAGATATGCACACACTGGCTGGCTTGTAAACACTGGACACGTCTCGTATGAATCGTATTGCATACCGGGTTTTGTAATGGGAAGAGAGGCAAATTTTTTGCGATATAATGCTTCGGATACAGGATTTATCAGATACTGATGGCTTCGCGAAGCGGGGGTCCACTGTATAATGTTTGAATGTGTTTCGTAAAAAAGCTGAAATGTGTACAAATACCATACAGTAGGATCCCTGTATCTGCAGGGGATGCATTCCAAGAACCTGCCGTGGATACCAAAACTGTGGATAGTTGCAAACCCTCTACAGTGGTACCTCGAGTTACGAACTTAATTCATTCCAGAAGGCTGTTCGAGTGCCGATACCAAACGAATTTGTTCCCTTAAGGAATAATGTAAATTAGTCTCTTTCAGCCCCCCAGAAATACACTTACAAAAGCACTTACATAATTGTTGAGTAGGGAGCTATTTGAAACTCGAGTTACCACTGTATACAAGTCCTCTGCATAGCTGTTATAAAGTTTAATTGATAAATTATATAAGTGGAGAATTATCACGGTTTCTCTTAGGCTTTGAAGAACTGCCAGCTTTTCTATTTTTGTGCTTTGGGGCCATTATTATGCAAAATTAAGAGGTATTTTTGGGTGACGGTAAACCATGGGTAACTGAAACCGCAGATACCATATCAGTAGATACAGGGGTTCTACTGTATTTGAAATTGCTCTACAGATCAGCAGTCATACAGTATTCATTCAAAAGTGCAGTGCATTGTCAAGTTGGAACCTATATTACAGTCATACCCTGCTTAATGTTGTTTCAGCTTATGTCAAATTTGCCTTTACCCCACTTCTAGAGTAAATTTCAGTTCGGCAAACGTCATTGCATCCGACTTTACATCACTTGGCAACATCACCTATGTCATAATAAAAGGACATGAAATAAATTTTCACTGAAATTTTTTTTAAAATAAAACAAAAAAAAATATTCAATAAAACCATATTAAAAACATAATATATACTTCTTTCTTTCAACACACCGGCCGTATCCCACCGAGGCAGGGTGGCCCAAAAGGAAAAACGAAAGTTTCTCCTTTTACATTTAGTAATATATACAGGAGAAGGGGTTACTAGCCCCTTGCCCCTGGCATTTTAGTTGCCTCTTACAACACTCATGGCTTACGGAGGAAGAATTCTGTTCCACTTCCCCATGGAGAATAATGTATACATATACACTAATATATTTACATTGAAAAATTGTAAAAAAATGTCCATTGCAGCATTGCTGCGGGTTTTCATTCAAAACAAGGGCGATGCCATGTGCATTTTTGCCCATGCTGCGATTGTGTGCTTGTTTTGCTTTCCTTTGTTATTTTTGTGATTATTCCTTTACTGTGTCTGTTACCTATGGGTCCTAAGAAGGATAGTGCTAGTGATTCCAAGTGTAATGTGGTTTCAATGGAAGACAAGTTAATTGTGATTAAAAGCATGTTTTTATGCTAATTGTAAGGTGTTTCTTTTCATACTTAAGGCATTTTTAAGGGCAAATCACAAGGTAAATAATTTTTTAAGTTGTGTTCATTATTCTTTAACAAAATGATTAAAGTGTGTTTTTAGTGTTCTTTAAGGTGTAACAATAATTATATTCTTTCGCGAGTTATTTACACTAGTTGTAAGGCATTTTTAAAGCATTACTTCCAGTTTGTCAAAAATTGGGTTTACATCACAGCTCTTGGAGCCAATTAATGACGTAGGGCGGAGTAAGACTGTACGTATATTGTTTTGTAATGGTATCCTAGTAATAGCCTTTGAATGTGTGCATTGCCAGCAACCGGATAGTTGATCATGTGAACACAAGATCACTTCTTTGAATAAACCAAAGTTTTTTTTATAGCATTACTTACTAGTAATGGAATTCCAAAAAGTAACATGCCTGGGGAATGGCTCATGTTGCATTATTATTTTTTTGTAGAGTGGAATCATGAAAAGAAAAAATATAAAACTGTTTTAACCCTACCAGTGTTGCAGTTTTTTAAAAAATTGTAGAGATTATGGTAATGCCAACAAAAGACAAATTTATTGTTAAACATAAGAAGTTATGCAAGTGCAAAGTTGGTGGTCTAGGCACAGTTTATGCCTCAGCAATTTGCCCACTTTGAGGCTATTTTGAGACAGTTTCATTACCTAAACTGCCCCAATTTTTGGCTATTTTGCTAGTATGCCTTCCATTCTATTGAGCACAAGAAATTAGCCATTCCACTGTAGATATTCTAGCCTACTGATGCATAAATTTACGAAAGCGACACTGGACCCAATCGTGGAGATCTTTGTGACTGACAGATGTAAAATGAGATGGTGTTTGTAAATTGTATTACAGCAAGCTCTAGAATTTGCTGTAATTGGTTCTAGGAAACTCAGAGTATGTTTTTCTATACATTTCTTGTTATAAATTAGGTACACATTCCTCTTAGATCTGAGAAAACTGTTGTCTTAAAGACAGTGTCCCTGTTCTTTCGCCATCTCACCTGCACTGGCTCTTGATCTTAAAAACTTGGGACAAAGTTAAATGGCAGATTTTGCCACCTGATTTTAAAAGTTTAGATTTCTATAAATACAAACCTCAACTTTGTTTCTTGAGTTGTTTTTGGCTTGTTAATCACTCCCCATGGCATTCTGAATCAAAATTTTGTGAATTGCTATAATTTAAGCTTATCAGATTATCAGAAGTAATAATAATGTATACTTTACAGTCAATGGACTACATCACAGCAGGCATGGAGGATGTAGCAGGCAGGCATGGAAATCTCCTCTTTAGAAAAAAGTAAGTTCACCTACAGCCTCTACTCAACAACAGAGTTCCATTCCTGAGACCACGTAGTTAAATGAATTCATCACTAAGTGAGGAGCATACTATAATGGTAGTGAGTTGTGTCAACCATATTTCATATTGTTTTAATGTCACCTCTGTACCATTTATGACATTTCTGGTATATTTTTAAATGTTTATACAGTAGTGTATTGTATATTGAAATAAACAGAATAGAGGAAATCAGATCTAATATACAATATTTAGGTATGAATACTGGTCAGAGCCCATTGTAAGCTTGAAGTGTACTTCACTGAGGAGAGGCTGTAATAATTTTTGCATTTTAGCATTATTCCTCAACATGCATGCTATAGACAGTGGTTGGTAGACAGCAACCACTCAGGGAGGTACTACCGTCCTACCAAGTGAGTGTAAAGAGGATGTCTGTATTTTGTTTTACATGATGGTAGGATTGCTGGTGTCTTTTTTCTGTCTCAAACATGCAAGGTTTCAGGTACATCTTGCTACTTCTACTTACACTTAGGTCACACTACTCCTGCATGTACATGTTTATGTATACACACTCATCTGAGTTTTCTTTGATTTTATCTTAATAGTACTTATTCTTATTGCTTTTCCTTTCATATCCATGGGGAAGTGAAATAAGAATCTTTCCTCCGTAAGCCATGCATGTTGTAGAAATCAACTAAAATGCCAGGAACAATGGTGTAGTAACCCCTTTTCCCATATAGCTTACTAAAAAGAAAAAGAAGAAAACCGTCGAAGTGGGATGTTTGAATGTGTGTGGATGTTGTGAGAATGATAAGAAAGAGATGATTGTGGATGTTATGAATGAAAAGAAGCTGTATGTCCTGGCTTTAAGTGAAACAAAGCTAAAGGGGATAGTTTCATTGGGGAGAAATAAATGGGATTAGGTCAGGGGTTTTCAAATAGAGCTAAAGAAGTAGCAATAATGTTGAAGGATAAATTATGGCAGGAAAAGAGGGAATATAAATGCATAAGAGGTAGATGGGACAAAAGGAAAATGACAACATCAAGTAAGAGAGGTGAAAGTACAGTGGACCCCCGAGTTTCGTGATTAATCCGTTCCAGAGAGTCTGCCGAATGACGAAATTGCCAAATGGCCATACGAAATAATGGAAATAAAATTAATCCGTTCCAGACACCCAAAAATATTAAAATAATTTTTTTTTTTTTTTTCAAATTAAATGGATTTACATACTGAAAACAATGAGAAATCAAGTACATACATATATAAAATAATAATATTACACTTACCTTTACTGAAGACTTCTGGGTGGATGGAAGACGGGAGGAGGGGATAGGAGGAAGGTGTACACTATTGTTTGGAAGGAGAATCTACTTCCATTAAGACTTCAGGTACCAAGTCCTTATCTGGGGTTGCTTCCCTTCTTTGTTTTTTTTTAAAGACACTGGGAACAACTTGAGTCACTGAACTGTCGCACAAAATATCTGTCCAGAGAGCTCTGTTTCTGGCATTTTCTTTAAGATTTGTCAGAAGTAGGACACAAGACTGTCATTGTACTTGTTGCCAATCGGCCTGCAACAGCTTTGTCAGGGTGAAGTTCATCCATAAATGTTTGCACTTCAGTCCACTTTGCACAAATGTCCTTAATCTTTGAAGAAGGCACCTTCCTCCATCTCTCTTCCTCTTCCTCTGCAGCTATTTTCTGAGCTGTGATCTCTTGCTGTTGCAGATGAAGCTCTTGCAGCTCTTCAGTGGTTAGCTCTTCCCTGTGGTCGTCCACAACTCGTCCACATCTCGCACTCACTCCAACCCCAGGGACTTCCCCAATGCCACAATAGATTCCACAACTGGCATAGGCTCCTTAGGGGTCAGCCCCAAACCCTTCAAAATCCCTCTTGTACACATTCTGGCCACAGTTTTCTCCAAGCAGAATTCAAAGTTCTGCAAGTCACTCATTGCCAAGCCTTACCTATACAATTTATGCAAGTGAGGATATTGAAGTGATCTTTCCAGAACTCTCTTAGGGTCAGTTCGGTGTCTGAGGTCACTTCAAAGCACTTTTGAAGCACTGCTTTGGTGTACAGTTTTTTGAAGTTTGAAATGACCTGCTGGTCCATGGGCTGGATGAGAGGAGTTGTATTAGGGGGCAAGAACTTCACCGTGGTGAAACTGAACTCCACTATTTGCTCTTCCAAGTCTGGAGGATGAGCAGGAGCATTGTCCATTACCAGGAGGCACATGAGTGGCAATTTATTTTCCAGAAGGTATTTCTTCACACTGGGGCCAAACACTTCATTAAACCAGTCTAGGAAAATTCCCCTTGTGACCCATGCCTTATAGTTAGCCTTCCACATCACACACAAATTACTCTTGGCGACACTGTTTTTCTTGAACACGCTGGGATTTTCAGAGTGATACACCAGTAAAGGCTTCACTTTGCAATCCCCACTAGCATTACTACAAAACATGAGAGTAAGCCTATCCTTCATAGGCTTGTGTCCTGGGAGTGCCGTTTCCTCCTGCATGATGTAGGTCCTCTTTGGCATTTTCTTCCAAAAGAGACCTGTTTCGTCACAATTAAACAGTTGTTGGGGGTTTGAATTCTCCAGTGTCTACGCACTCCTTAAACTCCTGTACAAACTTCTAGGCTGCTTTTTTGTCAGAACTGGCAGCCTCACCATGCCTTATCACACTGTGAATGCCACTACGCTTCTTAAATCTCTCAAACCAACCTTTGCTGGCCTTAAAATCACAAGCATCACCACTTGTTGCAGATAATTTCATTACGAGATCATCATGCAACTCCCTTGCCTTTTCACATATCGACTGCATAATACTATCTCCTGCTAACTGTTTTTGGGTAATCCACACCAACAATAACCTTTTCACTTCTTCGAGGATTTGCGATCTCTTTTTTTGTCAGCATATCTACCCCTTTTGCAACAACAGCACACTTTATTTCCTTTCCCTTCGCCACAATCGAAGTGATGGCTGAATGGGGTTTGCCATACATCCTGGCAAGTTCTGGAACATGCGCTCCGCTCTCATATTTTTCAATGATTTCCTTCTTGAATTCGATCATGTTCCTCGCTTTCTTTACCAAAGGGCTTGCACTACCTTTCCTTGGGTCCATGGTGACTTATTTAGCAGTTGCAAGCACAAAAAACAATGGATTATTATGAAATGTATTGTATGAACCCACGGGGGTGATGGTCACGTGCTGGTAAACAATGGCACACTGAGTGTGAATGGTGTGGGAGACTGGCTTTGTGTGTGCGGTAACAGGCGGACGCGTACTGGACGGTCGCTGAATCACGAGTCCAATCACGAACCACGAGGCTAAATTTTGCCAAAAAAACTTGCAGAAAGTCGGATTTCACGAAAGTCGATGCCAACAAAACTCGGGGGTCCACTGTATATAAACTGAGGAGAAAGTTAGGGTGAGATATAAGCAACTATTGGCAGAAAGGTGGGCTAATGCAAGTATGAGTAGTGGGGGGGTTGAAGAGGGTTGGGGTAGTTTTAAAAATGCAGTATTAGAATGTGGGGCAGAAGTTTGTTGCTAAAGGAGGGTGGGTACAGGAGGAAAGAGGAGTGATTGGTAGAATGATGAATTAAAGGGTGTGATTAAAGAGAAAAAGGTAGCTTATGAGAGGTTTTTACAAAACAGAGGTGTTATAAGAAGAGTAGAGTATGTGGAGAGTAAAAGAAAGGTGAAAGTGGTGAGAGAGTGCAAATGGAGAGCAGATGACAGAGTGGGAGAGGCACTGTCAAGAAATTTTGCAGAAAATAAGAAAAAATTTTGGAGATAAACAGGTTAAGAAAGCCTAGAGAACGAATGGATTTGTCAATTAAAGACAGAGTGAGGGAGTTAGTAGATGGGGAGCTAGAGGTATTGGGTACATGGCGGGAATATTTTGAGGAACTTTTAAATGTCGATGAAGAGAGAGAAGTGGTAATTTCATGCACTGGCCAGGGAGGTATCACATCTTTTAGGAGTGAAGAAGAGCAGGACACGAGTGTGGGGGAGGTGCGTGAGGCATTACGTAAAATGAAACTGGGTAAAGCAGCTGGAACTGACGGGATCAAGACAGAAATGTTAAAAGCAGGGGGGGATATAGTGTTGGAATGGTTGGTGTTTTTGTTTAATGAATGTATGAAAGGGGGAAAGGTATCTAGGGATTGGCAGAGAGCATGTATAGTTCCTTTATATGAAGGGAAGGGGGACAAAAAAGATTGCATTTTTTTTTTTGTTTGTTTGTTTGTTGTTTGTTTAACAAACCGGCCATATCCCACCAAGACAGGGTGGCCCAAAAAATAAAAACGAAAGTTCCTCTTTTAAAATTTAGTAATTTATACAGGAGAAGGGGTTACTAGACCCTTGCTCCCGGCATTTTAGTCGCCTCTTACAACATGCATGGCTTATGGAGGAAGAATTCTATTCCACTTCCCCATGGAGATTAGAGGAAATAAACAAGAAAAGAACTGGAGAAAAAATAGAAGAAAACCCAGAAGGGTGTGTATATATATGCTTTTACATATATGTGTAGTGTGACCTAAGTGTAAGCAGAAGTAGCAAGATGTACCTGTAATCTTGCATATATTGTAAAAATTATTGGGGAATAAGTTTACTGAGTATATCAGGTAAAGTGTATGGTAGGATTATTATTGAAAGAATTAGAGGTAAGAGAGTAGGATTGCAGATGAGCATGGAGGCCTTAGAGTGGGTAGGGGATGTGTAGATCGTGTTTACATTGAAGCATATATGTGAACAGTACACGTATTTAGATAAAGGTGGGGAAGTTTTCATTGCATTTATGGATTTAGAAAAGGCATATGATAATGGATAGGGGAGCAATGTGGCAGATGTTACAAGTGTATGGAATAGGTAATAAGTTACTAAGTACTGTAAAGATTTGTTATGAGGATAGTGAGGCTCAGGTTAAGGTGTGGAGGAGAGAGGGAGATTACTTCCCAGTAAAAGTAGATCTTAGACAGTGATGTGTAATGTCACCATGGTTGTCTAATATATTTATCAAACGATTTATATAAAGAAAAATTGGAGAGAAGGAGTATGGTAGTAGTGAATGTTTTCAGGTATTTGTTAGTTGACGTGTCAGCGGATGGCTTTATGAAGGATGGGGTTAATCACAGAATTGATGAGAAAAAAAAGGTGAGTGGTGTGTTGAGGTATCTGTGGAGACAAAAAAAAGTTATCCATGGAGGCAAAGAAGGGAATGTTTGAAAGTATAGTGGTACCAACACTCTTGTATGGATGTGAAGCTTGGGTTGTAAATGCTGCAGCGAGGAGGCGGCTAGAGACGGTGGAGATGTCCTGTCTAAGGGCAGTGTATGGTGTAAATATTGTGCAGAGAATTTGGAGTGTGGGAATTAGGAGGTGTAGGGTTAATAAAAGTATTAGTCAGAGGGTTGAAGAGGGGTTGTTGAGGTGGTTTGGTCATTTAGAGAAATGGATCAAAGTAGAATGACTTGGAGAGTGTATAAATCTGTAGGGGAAGGATTGTTGGGTAGGAGTCGTACTTGAAAAGGTTGGAGAGAGAGGGTAAAGGAGGTTTTATGGGCAAGGGGCTTGGACTTCCAGCAAGAGTGTGTGAGTGTGTTAGATAGGAGTGAATGGAGACGAATGGTGTTTGGGACCTGACGATCTGTGGGAGTGTGAGCAGAGTAATATTTAGTGAAGGGATTCAGAGAAACCGGTGATTTTTATATAGCTGGACTTGAGTACTGGAAATGGGAAGTACAGTGATTGCACTTTAAAGGAGGGGTTTGGGATATTGACAGTTTGGAGGGATATGTTGTATTAAAAATTTTATATATGCTTCTAAACTGTTGTATCTGGGTGCCTCTGCAAAGACAATGATAATGTATGAGTGAGGTGAAAGTGTTGAATGATGATGAAAGTATTTTCTTTTTGGGTCACCCTGCCTCAGTGGTAGAGGGCCGACTTGTTGGAAAAAAAAAAATGCAAGCTGTATTAAACTTTTATTACTGATACGTGCATGGCTAAGCATGTGATACAGCTATTGAGATAATATTGAATCAAAGCTATGATAATATGGTACAGTGATTGCCTTAGGTTTGGGTGCCTTATAAAGTTCCTCAGTATTTTGTGATAACTTTTTCATGTTCCCCATACCACTCCTGTGAGTAGTAGTACAAAAATTAGAGGCGCACAACCAGTTTGTGAAGTAAATTGCAGTATTGTAAAATCTAAATATTAACAGCCATGTTATAATTGTGGAGAAATTATTTCTGCAACTGATTCATAATCTGCAAATTTATTAGTTTGCTGAAGGGGTTAAACACTGTAAAATCTATCACCCTCGTAAAAATCTTATTTTCTAAGCTAATGCTCTTTTTCACGTGCTTTTCATGTCATCATACTTCAATTTGCTATAAGAAGACTGGGGAATTTTTAGGGAAGTATTTTGGCATGGCCAGTTTAATGGGATTTAAGTGATGCATTTTTTTTTTTTTTTTTTTTTTCTCTCTCTCTCTCTCAACAAGTCGGCCGTCTCCCACCGAGGCAGGGTGACCCAAAAAAGAAAGAAAATCCCCAAAAAGAAAATACTTTCATCATCATTCAACACTTTCACCACACTCACACATTATCACTGTTTTTGCAGAGGTGCTCAGAATACAACAGTTTAGAAGCATATACGTATAAAGATACACAACATATCCCTCCAAACTGCCAATATCCCAAACCCCTCCTTTAAAGTGCAGGCATTGTACTTCCCATTTCCAGGACTCAAGTCCGACTACTATATGAAAATAACTGGTTTCCCTGAATCCCTTCACTAAATATTACCCTGCTCACACTCCAACAGATCGTCAGGTCCCAAGTATCATTCGTCTCCATTCACTCCTATCTAACACTCTCATGCACGCTTGCTGGAAGTCCAAGCCCCTCGCCCACAAAACCTGCTTTACCCCCTCTTTCCAACCCTTTCGAGGACGACCCCTACCCCTCCTTCCTTCCCCTATAGATTTATATGCTTTCCATGTCATTCTACTTTGATCCATTCTCTCTAAATGACCAAACCACCTCAACAACCCCTCTTCTGCCCTCTGACTAATGCTTTTAATAACTCCACACCTTCTCCTAATTTCCACACTCCGAATTTTCTGCATAATATTTACACCACACATTGCCCTTAGACAGGACATCTCCACTGCCTCCAACCGTCTCCTCGCTGCTGCATATTAAAGTTAAATTAACTTGGTGTAATAGTAATTGTATTTTGTTCATGCTAGTAGCTTATTTTATTATACCTTTTTGCCTTTGATGTTCTTGTGTGTGTTTGTCACATTTAGTTTTTATTGCCAAGAGCACCGAGTAATCTACCAGGTCAAGGTGTGGATATTGTACATGCATTTTATGTATACTGTACCAGTGGAACCTCGGTACTCGAACTTAATTTGCTTCAGAAGTCTGAGTGCCGATCTGTTCGAGTACCGAAATGAATTTTTTTCCGCCCAATTTTCTTTGTTTTTGTTGGCTGTTATCACTAATCTTCTCAGACCCTATGGTGACTTATTTATGCAAATAATATAAAAAAAAATGCCAAAAAATTTGAAGAAACATGAAATAATTTACAGCGAAGTTCTGGTTGGTCATGTTTGGTCGAGGGCCAAGCAAATGGTCGGGGATTTTTTTTTTTAACCGAACAAAGCGTTCAGGTAAGGAGCTCTTCAAATACTGAGGTTCCACTGTGGTAGTGGCACCAACACTTTAATGGGTGTGAGATAGTGGGACAGTACCAAAACTTGTGCCAATATCGATACTCAGTTTTAGACAGATACTAGTGCCATCACTATGAGCCGATACCTACTGATGTTCACTTTTAGGCCGATACCAATATGTCTCAATCGGCCAATACAGGAGGGCCCCTCTTATACAGTAGGTTAGGTTCTGGGCTACCACTGTAAATCTAAAATTGCTGTAAAGTGAATCATAGCCTTTGTTCACTTTCACAAGCATCTATAAGCCGGATAACATGTTTGTCGTGCCGAATAGGTGAAACTGGTCAGTTAGCAAGAACTCATTTAAAATTAAGTCTTTTGTAAAATTTTCTCTTATACATTTAAATATTTATTTTTTCATTATGTTAAAAATTAATAATTTTTGTGCCAAAAGAACCTTAGAAAACTTACCTAATCTTATTATAACAAGCACAGTTTAGTCTAATCCTACTAAATATATTTTAGATAACTTTACAATAATTTAATAAACAAACACAATGAAATATATCTTTTGTTAGGTTAAGAATGATTTTTGTGAAATTATTGCATACACAAATTTTCACTTGCCTTATCTGGCAAGAGCATTGCTATTTAAGCCAAAATCGCAAGTTTTATTTCTTCGGCACGACGTATACACTATAATGTATTAAACAAACAATATAACTAGGTCTAAAATTTGTATGTGCGGTACACATATTACATACTTTAAAATATCTTTGTTCTTAGCTTATAGTGAATGGTGAATATATTTATTCTAGGAAGCCTTGAATAAATGAAGAATGGGTATAATTAAAAACTGCTGTATTAGCAAAATGCTGTAAATCAAAGCTCTGTAAAGTGGGGCCTGCCTGTGAAACATGGGTGGCTACGGGCAGTAGAAATGTCATGTTTGACAGCAGTGTGTGGTGTTAATGCTGAGCAGAGAATTTGGATCGTAAAATTAACGTTTGATGGCTGTAATTCAGAGAGCTGAGCAAAGATTGTTGAGTTGGTTTGGGTATATAGAGAAGATGAAAAGGGTATACAAGTCTGAAGTGGAACGTAGGAGGGGCAGGGGTCATCCCAGAAGCGGTTGAAGTGAGGGGCTTAGAGTTTTAGGGGCTTGAGCATCCAGCAGTGTGTGTGGGGGGGGAGGAGATAGATTAGAGACAAGTGGTTTTAATGGACATGGTGTTGGAGTGTGAACAAGGTAACTTAAGGGATTCAGTGAAATTGGTTTGCTGGACTTGGAGTTCTAGACTAAGGAGGGGTTGGGATGTTTCAGTTGGAGGGTAATATTGATAGTGAAGGCAACAAGCTGCTGAAAGACAGTATTTGAATGAATGATGGTTACCCTGGCTTGGCAGGAGACAGAAAGTTGAAATAAAAAAAAAGAAAAAGAAAAGGAAATATTTACTGAATTATTCTGATATTTTGAATATTGTTGATTAGTCTTGGTATCTTAGAGGCATGAAAATAGTCAATAGTTAAAATACTGAGTAATTACTTATCTTAGTTTTTGAGGGAATAGTGGCGTGCTGGAAATGTAGAGACAGTAATTTCTGTTATTGAAATATAATTTCCCTTTGTATGTATACAAGAGGTAGAGGATTGCACTGCTAGAATTTTCTTATAGCAGCATAATTTTAATCATAAACTTTTACTTTTTTTCTAGGTTCAAGCGATTCAATAATAAATATATAACTCCATTCTTAGTCCGTGATAAGAATGTAATGGAACCTAAATTCATAGAAACATTCAGTCAGATCAAGATGAATGAAGCCCTTCAATACATGGCCACCAACGGCAATGCTTCCAAAAATATAGAGTCTTTTACCAGTTTATTACGAAATGCTGCAACTCACCCACAGTAAGTTTCCTAGCTAATCTTTTAAATAATTTTGTGTTAAAAACTAGCTGTCAAAACTTGCTTATAAGAACCTTCTCAGCAAGATTTATCATTGTGCATTTAGAGAAATTGAGTTTTCAGTACAATTCCTCAGTTATTAAAGTCACTGTTTAACTAATTTGAAAGTGAAATTTGTGTAGTATTATACTTTTAAGAAATATTTCAGAATTGCTACTGTTTTAGCTGAACAGACGAATATGATTATAGTACAAATGTCATGTTATACAAAGAAATATGTAACTTTGTTTTTTGTTCTTAGTCTCCTGAAGAACAACCAAGGTGAGTGGAACCTGGATGTTGGAGAGCTGGAATACAACCCCACCACGAGGGACATAAATGATGCTAAATTCCATCATCTCCTTTCAGTGAATACACTGCCGTCAAGCGTGTGAGTATACAAGACTAAGATTGTATATGTATGTTAAGCATATTGAAATATCTGTAGACTGGCTGCAAGAAATGGGAAAGCAGGTATTAAGCCTCTGCTCACTTAACGACAGAGATAGGGGCCTAAGACCCCATCAGTAAACGATTTCGTCGTTAATCGAGGAGTCGCCCCTTACTGACACTTCAAAAGTGTCACCACCCAAAATTAAAACATTCAGTTTTAGGTTTGTTGGGAAATTCTTTTCAATCTGTTTATTATTAACCTTTAAACTGTACAAACGTAGATCTATGTTCACTCACGTAGCACTCCGAACATAGATCTACTTTTTTTTTTTTTTTTTTACATAAGAAAGCATGTAAATTCGAACATAGATCTATTTTCAGAGCGCTACGCGAGTGAACGTAGATCTAAGTTTGGATGGTTTAAGGGTTAACAGTAATACAACATGAAATAGTTCAATGACTTACTTTCGAGATATTCCAGGAAACTTGTGCTTAGCTGATTGCTTGCTTGCTTGTTTTTTTTTTTTTTTTTTTTTTTTTTTTTTTTTTTTTTTTTTTTTTTTTTTTTTTTTTTTTTTTTTTTTATTCCTTTCGGCTCTCCACCCTTGAATACCCCTCTATATAATGTCAGTTTTTATTAATTTGGGCGCCTTTATCGTGCTTCTCTGTTATTTATGTTATACCTAATTTTTTTTTTTTTTTTTTTTATTATCACACACGGCCGATTCCCACCAAGGCAGGGTGGCCCGAAAAAGAAAAACTTTCACCATCATTCACTCCATCACTGTCTTGCCAGAAGGGTGCTTTACACTACAGTTTTTAAACTGCAACATTAACACCCCTCCTTCAGAGTGCAGGCACTGTACTTCCCATCTCCAGGACTCAAGTCCGGCCTGCCGGTTTCCCTGAATCCCTTCATAAATGTTACTTTGCTCACACTCCAACAGCACGTCAAGTATTAAAAACCATTTGTCTCCATTCACTCCTATCAAACACGCTCACGCATGCCTGCTGGAAGTCCAAGCCCCTCGCACACAAAACCTCCTTTACCCCCTCCCTCCAACCCTTCCTAGGCGACCCCTACCCCGCCTTCCTTCCACTACAGACTGATACACTCTTGAAGTCATTCTGTTTCGCTCCATTCTCTCTACATGTCCGAACCACCTCAACAACCCTTCCTCAGCCCTCTGGACAACAGTTTTGGTAATCCCGCACCTCCTCCTAACTTCCAAACTACGAATTCTCTGCATTATATTCACACCACACATTGCCCTCAGACATGACATCTCCACTGCCTCCAGCCTTCTCCTCGCTGCAACATTCATCACCCACGCTTCACACCCATATAAGAGCGTTGGTAAAACTATACTCTCATACATTCCCCTCTTTGCCTCCAAGGACAAAGTTCTTTGTCTCCACAGACTCCTAAGTGCACCACTCACTCTTTTTCCCTCATCAATTCTATGATTCACCTCATCTTTCATAGACCCATCCGCTGACACGTCCACTCCCAAATATCTGAATACGTTCACCTCCTCCATACTCTCTCCCTCCAATCTGATATTCAATCTTTCATCACCTAATCTTTTTGTTATCCTCATAACCTTACTCTTTCCTGTATTCACCTTTAATTTTCTTCTTTTGCACACCCTACCAAATTCATCCACCAATCTCTGCAACTTCTCTTCAGAATCTCCCAAGAGCACAGTGTCATCAGCAAAGAGCAGCTGTGACAACTCCCACTTTGTGTGTGATTCTTTATCTTTTAACTCCACGCCTCTTGCCAAGACCCTCGCATTTACTTCTCTTACAACCCCATCTATAAATATATTAAACAACCACGGTGACATCACACATCCTTGTCTAAGGCCTACTTTTACTGGGAAAAAATTTCCCTCTTTCCTACATACTCTAACTTGAGCCTCACTATCCTTGTAAAAACTCTTCACTGCTTTCAGTAACCTACCTCCTACACCATACACTTGCAACATCTGCCACATTGCCCCCCTATCCACCCTGTCATACGCCTTTTCCAAATCCATAAATGCCACAAAGACCTCTTTAGCCTTATCTAAATACTGTTCACTTATATGTTTCACTGTAAACACCTGGTCCACACACCCCCTACCTTTCCTAAAGCCTCCTTGTTCATCTGCTATCCTATTCTCCGTCTTACTCTTAATTCTTTCAATTATAACTCTACCATACACTTTACCAGGTACACTCAACAGACTTATCCCCCTATAATTTTTGCACTCTCTTTATCCCCTTTGCCTTTATACAAAGGAACTATGCATGCTCTCTGCCAATCCCTAGGTACCTTACCCTCTTCCATACATTTATTAAATAATTGCACCAACCACTCCAAAACTATATCCCACCTGCTTTTAACATTTCTATCTTTATCCCATCAATCCCGGCTGCCTTACCCCCTTTCATTTTACCTACTGCCTCACGAACTTCCCCCACACTCACAACTGGCTCTTCCTCACTCCTACAAGATGTTATTCCTCCTTGCCCTATACACGAAATCACAGCTTCCCTATCTTCATCAACATTTAACAATTCCTCAAAATATTCCTTCCATCTTCCCAATACCTCTAACTCTCCATTTAATAACTCTCCTCTCCTATTTTTAACTGACAAATCAATTTGTTCTCTAGGCTTTCTTAACTTGTTAATCTCACTCCAAAACTTTTTCTTATTTTCAACAAAATTTGTTGATAACATCTCACCCACTCTCTCATTTGCTCTCTTTTTACATTGCTTCACCACTCTCTTAACCTCTCTCTTTTTCTCCATATACTCTTCCCTCCTTGCATCACTTCTACTTTGTAAAAACTTCTCATATGCTAACTTTTTCTCCCTTACTACTCTCTTTACATCATCATTCCACCAATCGCTCCTCTTCCCTCCTGCACCCACTTTCCTGTAACCACAAACTTCTGCTGAACACTCTAACACTACATTTTTAAACCTACCCCATACCTCTTCGACCCCATTGCCTATGCTCTCATTAGCCCATCTATCCTCCAATAGCTGTTTATATCTTACCCTAACTGCCTCCTCTTTTAGTTTATAAACCTTCACCTCTCTCTTCCCTGATGCTTCTATTCTCCTTGTATCCCATCTACCTTTTACTCTCAGTGTAGCTACAACTAGAAAGTGATCTGATATATCTGTGGCCCCTCTATAAACATGTACATCCTGAAGTCTACTCAACAGTCTTTTATCTACCAATACATAATCCAACAAACTACTGTCATTTCGCCCTACATCATATCGTGTATACTTATTTATCCTCTTTTTCTTAAAATATGTATTACCTATAACTAAACCCCTTTCTATACAAAGTTCAATCAAAGGGCTCCCATTATCATTTACACCTGGCACCCCAAACTTACCTACCACACCCTCTCTAAAAGTTTCTCCTACTTTAGCATTCAAGTCCCCTACCACAATTACTCTCTCACTTGGTTCAAAGGCTCCTATACATTCACTTAACATCTCCCAAAATCTCTCTCTCTCCTCTCTGCATTCCTCTCTTCTCCAGGTGCATACACGCTTATTATGACCCACTTCTCGCATCCAACCTTTACTTTAACCACATAATTCTTGAATTTACACATTCATATTCTCTTTTCTCCTTCCATAACTGATCATTTAACATTACTGCTACCCCTTCCTTTGCTCTAACTCTCTCAGATACTCCAGATTTAATCCCATTTATTTCCCCCCACTGAAACTCTCCTACCCCCTTCAGCTTTGTTTCGCTTAGGGCCAGGACATCCAACTTCTTTTCATTCATAACATCAGCAATCATCTGTTTCTTATCATCCGCACTACATCCACGCACATTTAAGCAACCCAGTTTTATAAAGTTTTTCTTCTTCTCTTTAGTTCTCTTTAGTTTTCTTCTTCTCTTTAGTTATACCTAATATTCTGGAATAAATATGATAGGTAGATAACCTTTATTGATAGAAATAGTATATTTTTTATTATTATTTTATTATCACACTGGCCAAGGCAGGGTGGCCCGAAAAAGAAAAACTTTCGCCATCATTCACTCCATCACTGTCTTGCCAGAAGGGTGCTTTACACTACAGTTTTTAAACTGCAACATTTACACCCCTCCTTCAGAGTGCAGGCACTGTACTTCCCATCTCCAGGACTCAAGTCTGGCCTGCCGGTTTCCCTGAACCCCTTCATAAATGTTACTTTGCTCACACTCCAACAGCACGTCAAGTATTAAAAACCATATGTCTCCATTCACTCCTATCAAACACGCTCACGCATGCCTGCTGGAAGTCCAAGCCCCTCGCACACAAAACCTCCTTTACCCCCTCCCTCCAACCTTTCCTAGGCCGACCCCTACCCCGCCTTCCTTCCACTACAGACTGATACACTCTTGAAGTCACTCTGTTTCGCTCCATTCTCTCTACATGTCCGAACCACCTCAACAACCCTTCCTCAGCCCTCTGGACAACAGTTTTGGTAATCCCGCACCTCCTCCTAACTTCCAAACTACGAATTCTCTGCATTATATTCACACCACACATTGCCCTCATACATGACATCTCCACTGCCTCCAGCCTACTCCTCGCTGCAACATTCATCACCCATGCTTCACACCCATATAATAGCGTTGGTAAAACTATACTCTCATACATTCCCCTCTTTGCCTCCAAGGACAAAGTTCTTTGTCTCCACAGACTCCTAAGTGCACCACTCACCCTTTTCCCCTCGTCAATTCTATGATTCACCTCATCTTTCATAGACCCATCCGCTGACACGTCCACTCCCAAATATCTGAATACATTCACCTCCTCCATACTCTCTCCCTCCAATCTGATATTCAATCTTTCATCACCTAATCTTTTTGTTATCCTCATAACCTTACTCTTTCCTGTATTCACCTTTAATTTTCTTCTTTTGCACACCCTACCAAATTCATCTACCAATCTCTGCAACTTCTCTTCAGAATCTCTCAAGAGCACAGTGTCATCAGCAAAGAGCAACTGTGACAACTCCCACTTTGTGTGATTCTTTATCATTTAACTCCACGCCTCTTGCCAAGACCCTCACATTTACTTCTCTTACAACCCCATCTATAAATATATTAAACAACCACGGTGACATCACACATCCTTGTCTAAGGCCTACTTTTACTGGGAAATAATTTCCCTCTTTCCTACATACTTTAACTTGAGCCTCACTATCCTCGTAAAAACTCTTCACTGCTTTCAGTAACCTACCTCCTACACCATACACCTGCAACATCTGCCACATTGCATCCCTATCCACCCTGTCATACGCCTTTTCCAAATCCATAAATGCCACAAAGACCTCTTTAGCCTTATCTAAATACTGTTCACTTATGTGTTTCACTGTAAACACCTGGTCCACACACCCCCTACCTTTCCTAAAGCCTCCTTGTTCATCTGCTATCCTATTCTCCGTCTTACTCTTAATTCTTTCAATAATAACTCTACCATACACTTTACCAGGTATACTCAACAGACTTATCCCCCTATAATTTTTGCATTCTCTTTTGTCCCCTTTGCCTTTATACAAAGGAACTATGCATGCTCTCTGCCAATCCCTATAATTATACAATATTTTATTGTGCCATGAGCTTACATGTCCGTACATCATGGTGAAGCACGAGTTACTGAGAGACATTGCTGGCGCCGTCTCTCTCGTATAGCCCTGCACACCCTCCAGTACCTTTCCATATATGTTAGTTTTTATTAATTCGGGCATCTTTATCATGCTTCCACTGCCTATTTATTATGACTTGAAATCCTGTCAATGCTTTTGCTGTCTCTTACATTCTATCTTTACCCTTCAAGATAGTGGGAATGGTAGAATGCACCAGCTTCAAGTCATTGGCTATCACTTGCATTTTCTAACTAGCTTCATACTCGTGTATAATCTTTATTTTCACTCAAGATCGAGAGCCTTCCTTCATTTCTTGGCACTTCCTTGAGGTGAAGTCAAGATCTTCCTTTTTGTCAACATCTTGTACTATGGGATGCACAATAAAGTGCAAATTTGTACAGAACTGTAGCCTTGGAGACAGTGAAAGCTAGTGTACTCAGTGGCTGTAGGAAGCAGACTGAGATACTTGATGCTGAGACGCCGCGCTGCCTGTTTCCGTGACCCAAGTTCTCGTATGGCATAAAATTATAATAATTATATACTGATAATAATATAATAACAATCATAAAAATAATCACTCTGGAGTGGTTTAAATGTCATACGTATTTCGTAACTCCAAATTGTCGGTAAATGAGTACGTCCGTAAGTAAGATGCTGTATTGTGAAACCTAAGGTATTTTAAGTTTTACTGATTGTATAGGAAAAACCTTAACCAGTATTGCTTTTGCCTGAGTAAAATGCCATATGACTCTAAAGCTGTGATATTTCTTCCAACAGCACCGTGGGTCAACTTACAAGAGGCATGCAGTGAAAGATGATGATATGCAGACTCAAACAGATGTTAATCACCACAATATGTATCTTCATACTCGCAAGTTTGTGAGTAACATTAAGAAGCCAAGCAAAACCACATCAAAGCCAGTAAGTTCATGCATTAAAATTATCTTAATGTCTATGCTATCCTGTCTTTTTCTATGATGGTCTTTTTTTTTTTTTTTTTTTTTTTTTTTTTTTTTTTTTTTTTTTTTTTTTTTTTTTATATCCCCTAACACCATCCATCTCTCACCAAAGTAGAGTGACCCAAGAAAGAGGAAAACATCTTTACTGCCACTCATTCAATCGCTCTTTTTATCCCAGATATGTATGCCCTCCTAGTTATCCTGTTGTTCTTCATCCCCAATAAATGTTGAAACTACCTTAACAGCCCCTCCATCCCTTGGAAAGTTACTTTTGGTGATTCCACACCTAATCTCCAAACTGAATTCTCTGTATAATGTTTACACTGTACATTGCCTTCAAACACAACATCTCTACCACCTCTAACCTCACTGCAACATTTGAAACCATTACTTCACACCAGTACAGTAGTTTTGGTACCACTATACCTTGTGTATTCCTCTTTTTTTTTTTTTTTTTTTTTTTTTTTTTTCCCATGATACTATTTTCTCATCAGAGGCTTCAATGTTCCACTCCCCTTTATTCCTTTAGTCAGTTCTGTGCTTCACCTCATCTCTCATTGAACCATCTGTTGACAAGTCTTCTCCCAAATATCTGAACAATGTGCTTGCTCCTGTCTAATATAGTCTCTCATTACTTGTATTTTTCATAATCTCATCACTTTTATCTTTCTTATGCTTTCTTTTAATTTCTTCCTTTTACATACCCTCCCAACTTTGTATGCCAACCTTTGCAGCTTCTCTTCTAAATCTTCCAAGAGAGCCATGTCATTGGAAAATGGTAGCAGTGACCACTCCTACTCCATACCATATTTAATATCTTTCAATTCCACACCTCTTCCAAACCCCTAGTATTTACTCCTTTTACAACCCCATCAATAAATGTATTAAACAACCATGGTAGACATCACACATTCCTGTTGAAGGCTTATTTTTACTGGGAAATAATTTTCCTCTTTCCTGTAGTCCTCTGGAGGGGAAATCATCAGACCTGTATATTTCCATTAAACTTAAAGGTGATGTCTAAGAAATGCTTTTATGTACCTTTGATTGTTAGAACCCCCTAACTTTTTACTTTTCCTACCTAGGTCATTGCCTTCGTAGATAGGAGAATGTAAAGGAAACTCGTTTACCATCACTTATTTCCTAGCTGTCTATTTTAGAGGTACACATATAATTCAAATGGCCCACAGAACTATTGGAACATACCACGCAGTGCTCAGGCATTATACTTTCCGAGTTCCCACTTGTAGAATTCTAGTATGGCTAATCAGATTTCCCTGAACTGCTTCACATGTTACCCAAGGTCACACTCCAGTGGCATGCTAATCCCGAACACGTCTCCACTCCACTGACATGCCAACTGACTGTTGTCTGCACTGTAGTAGGTTTATAATTTGTTAGATAGCTGTAATATTAATGCACATCATAAAATGTTGTGAGAGGCACTCACAAGTTTTTGAAGGCATGTAATGAGCCCACAGATTGGGGTCCAAAGTTCTGTTGACTTAAAAATAAAAAAAAGTTCAGTGGTAAGAGTTATGTACAAGTCGGTGGATACTTAAAGGTTTTCTGAAGATGATTCTGGGAGTCACCATTCCACAGTTCAGTTCCAGACTGAGCATGGTTGATGGCTTGATCAACTAGGCTGTTGGTGCTAGCTGCATATAGTCCAATGTAGGCACCACAGTCTTGCTGATTATGAACTATTTTGAGGAGCTTAACTAATTTCCTCTCAAAAGACAGCAAGAAGTCTTGGTAATTTCCTGTGTGTATGGTAGGAGGGTGACCCTCTATTTGCTTGCTGAAGGTGAATTTATCAGTTGCAAAACAGTAAAACCTTAACTTAACAGACCCAAATTTAATGGATTTTTGCTTTAATGGACAAAATTTCTGGCTGGAGTGGAAACAACAGGGAAAGCCTGTACAATCCAGAATTGTTATTGTTATATTCATGAAAAAACAGTATCATTAGAATTTTATTGACAGTCAGCATTAATGGAACCCCTATCCCCATATTAGTCCATTAAATTTTCTCTGTAGTTTAGTTGTGTGACTTCATGTGAATTGTTTCCCCAATTCTTCCATTGGAGATGTAAATTGAAATCATCATCCAATAAGATATTAGGTGTTGGGTTTGAAAGATTTTTAAAACATTATAGTACTGATTTTCGTTAACTGGTTTTTGAACTGCTGGGAGTTGTATCTGGTGGTTTATATAAAAGTACAGTAACTAGATTCTGATTTTCAATTTAAATTGCCAAATTTGACCGCATTCATCATTTTTGGTGTTGAGTTCAGCATGAGTAAGCGACATATGCAACAGTTGGGTATCTTTATTTCGAAACGTTTCGCCTACACAGTAGGCTTCTTCAGTCAAGTACAGAAAAGTTGATAGAAGCAGAAGAGATGAGAAGACGATGTAATCAGTCCATCCTTGAAGTTTTGAGGTGGTCAGTCCCTCAGTCTGGAGAAGAGTACTGTTCCATATTGTTTCAAACTATGGGACAGTACTCTTCTCCAAACTGAGAGACTGACCACCTCAAAACTTCAAGGGTGATGGACTGATTGCATCGTCTTCTCGTCTCTTCTGCTTCTATTAACTCTTTCGAAATAAAGATACCTAACTGTTGCGTATGTGTCTTGCCTAACAACCTGTTGGTATTTTATACCATTTTAATATTCATAAGTAAGCGACTGTATTACACAGACCAACCCTTTTTGTGGAGCATTTTTTTTGTTTTGTGCCAAAGTAAATTGTATCCATATTTCATTGTAAGGGTAGTCTTTTATGTAGCTCTCTGTTGAAGGTGTAAACACTGGATATCACTTAGTGAGGAGTCTACTAATAAATGGTATTTTACTTTCAGAAATAAATATTTGTTGAGGTATTTTTTGTTGACATAAATATCTGTTCTGATGAATCAGTCACTGTGTTTGTTTTCATTACAACCTGGCACTGGGGTGGTAGTACATTCTTATTTTTTTCTTCCTGGATTTACTGACATGCTGGCATAAGCCAGTATGCCATTAAATCCACTGTAGCAGGGGAAACCCTTTATTATGTTTCACCGAAGAGTAGATATGATAAAGTCCAGCCTCGGGTAGAATGTCGTAATAAAAGGCTTCCTTAAACCCATTGCCTTTTATTTCTAGTACCATGATAAGCCTAATGAATTCTTGTCAGTGCTGAATGGTATCCCACATGTAGAAAAAACTGCAGTTTAAAAGAGACTGCATTTTGACTTGCAACTGGAGTCTTCATAAGCAGTATGTACATCAGAGGAAGGAGGGCACCTTGTATAAGGAAACAGGTCAGGGCTGCTGGGCTGTCAGTGGAGAAGTAAGGAATTTATAAGGAATCTTATAAAAAAAATTGAACAAATGAAAAGTTGAGATTTTTACTTTTGAGAGGGACCTGCCAAACGTGCATTGCTCTTACATTATAATGTTATGAACTTGTAGGTACAAAATGGCCTACCTGGCCTTGCTGGTAGATGGTCGGTGAAGCTAAAAAGTTTGGTAACTAAAAATTGGTTGGGCAAATATATATGTATATAGGAAAAACAGGATGGAATTTAGATGCTTTTGATCGAACATAAATGAGCAGTGAAATATGGCCAAGAAAGTTAAGTGTTCTAACACACACAAACTTCGAATCATTCTATCAGCTGGAATGAAGAGTTAAAATAATTGAATTGGCAATGACACCAAAGAATTTAATGGGCAATGGAAACCCAGCCTTGTTGCGAAATTTGTATTTAATTAAAAAACATTGTCGCTACACCTTTTAGATCATGAATAAAATGACCAATCAACATAGTATTACAAATTTATAATCTATTATGTCTGTTGATCTATATTAGGCAGATCATTTTAACAGATGCCATTATATTTAGCCAACCAATTTTTAAGTTCACTGACCTTCTGTTGGTATGGCCTAGTAAACCATTTTGTATTAAAATTAAAATTTATAAAATAATGTTAGAGGAATATGTTATGCCCACTGATCTATGTTTGGTAGGTCCTAAAATGCAATCCTCTTGCCTTTATATTTGTTCAACCATTTTATAAGCTACCATTTTTTTTTAACACCCTGGCCATCTCCTGAGGCAGGGTGACCTGAAAAAAAAATTCTTTCATAAAATACCAAAGATTTTAGCTTCTTAAATTATCCTCTACTCCATGGGGAAGTGGAACAGAATTCTTCCTTTGTAAGCCATGCGTATCATAAGAGATGACTAAAATGCCGTGAGCAAGGGGCTAGTAATCCCTTCTCCTGTATATATTATTAAATTTAAAAAGAGAAACTTTAATTTTTCTTCTTTGGCCACCCTGATTCGGTTGGATACTGCCGGTTTGTTGAAAGAAGAAGAAATTACCTACTGGAGTGGCCCAGTAGATGTAGTTTTTCATTTGACCTGCCACACCTTTATAAGGTGCTCTCCTTCCTCCAATGTACACACTTTCTTTTCAGTTGCTATTTTTTGTCTGAGTGTTGTATACCCTTCCAGTACTATGGTTAATTTGATACCACCAGGTTCCTGTAGACTGGTATGTGGGGCAGTTTGTGTTATAGCACTTTCTTAGTTATTGATGGTTGCTAAAAAGATTTTATGCTGTCATAATAAAAATTAGTGTATTAGTTGTGTACTGTAGTTTATTCAATTTTACTGTAGCTAATTAAATTTTCTTGTCATGAACATTATGTAATTTATTTGTACTGTACTAAATAAGTTTGAGTTGATACTGTACATTGTATCAGTGCAGTAAACCCTTGATTTAACAGACCTAGGTCCATTGGGTAATTGATTTCAGAAACAACAGTCGGTGTGTTTTTCCTAAATTGTCTGTTTTGTTACGATCATGTCAAAACAGTTTCATTACTTAGATTTTCCAGACAGTATATATTGGACACCCTTTCCTCCCTTGTTAGTCTGTTAAATTTAGGTTTCTCTGCATTTTTTAAAATGGATTAATTTAAATAATGTTCCTTCAAATAGAAACATTTTTATTGTAAATAAAACCAGCACTCTATAGTAATACATGTAATGTGAATCTAATGACTAGTGGTGATCTAGGAAAATGCCGGAGGTTCAGTCAGCCCCGAGCATCTGCAAGCTGTACGGTTATCTCAAATCGTTCAGTTTTTTGACAGTCTGGAGGCCATCACCCAGGTAACCAAAAATGGTGCAATATAGGCTGGGGTACCATCAGGCATTGTTACTATTATAATGCATGGAATGACAGACCTGCAAATGCCACACACCAGTAATGTTTTATAATAGTAATAGGTCATTGGTACCCTTTCCCATGAAGCTCCATTGAGCTATGCATCAAGTTGCGTGTGTCATCTTTAATTTAGTACAAGAGTTTTGGCCCCCACAGATAACAAATTTTGTTGTGGTTTGCTTTAATAATAGAAAAAATAACAATATGCATTACCAATACAACATAATTTACAGCATTTTTATATTGGGTATAGACTTTAGATTTACACCTAGGTGCATGATTACAGCTGAATGTGTATGTGTATTTTCTTCATGAATCTGTGCAAACATTATTCTTTATTTGCAGACAAAATATTCCAACCAATTTTAATTATAAAATAAGTGTGTGAGACTACTTACCAATGATTACCTATTTAATTGCCCATCATGAGCAGTTATGCTCATGATGAGCAGTTATGCTCATGATGAGCAGTTATGCTCATGATGAGCAGTTATGCTCATGGTGTCCCACCTGTAGTATTTAGTTCATGGTGGAAGTTGAACATTTTTGGTACTCTTTATTTTCTTATTTGTAATTGAGGTCTTTGTTTTCCCTGGTAATGGTGCTGGGAAATCTTTTCCACCTCTTTTCTTGTATCCTTTCATGGTCTTTTGTTGGATTATATCTTTTAGCCTTTTCTACCTTTTTAAATTGGAAAGAAAATATTATGAGGAAAAAGAGATATTGTATTAAAACAGGAAAGCAAAGATACATATATGTATACTGAATTTTAAAAAAAAGTTTGTAAGATTTGTAGCATGTTTCATAACTATGTCATATTATAATTTAGGACACTACAGTGGGGACTGCTTTGTAGTCCCCACTACACAGCAGTATGTGGTAGCAAAACAGAATTCTGGCTACCTTCATATTATTGATGCATCTCCATCAGCAGCTGTGCAAGAACCATGGTCATCCTCCATAGTTTTTCTTTAGACACAGGACTACCATTTTGCCATTTTCAGACCTATAGGACAATGAGAATATTCATTTACTGTATCTTGACTATAATTTTCAGATAAACTGAGCATGGTGTACTAATTCCACAATAACTTTCCTTTACATATGAGTGCATATAGCTGCATGATTGTAAAATTTAAGTGAGTAGAATTAACTTTTCAAGAGTACTGTATATAATTCAGAAGTGTAATCTGCATAGCATGTAAAAGGTTTTTGTGGTTGGTTTATACAACTAATATGTTGGTGCATGGGCTGCTGGTATGACTAATATTTAAATATGTAGATTATTCATTGATGGCATAATGATGGAGTCAGTTGTGACTCCTGTAGTTTAACTTATAGCATGTTAATTATCATTCTGATTGAAATTATTACCTGAGAGAACTGCAAAAATAAATTTACAGATATATATGTTTCGTAACAGGTTTGCATTATCTGAAAATCTCCTTGCTGATATTGCAATAAAAAGCTATGATTAGCTGTAATGTTGTACAAGAACTCAACCTGTTTTTTTTTATAGTTTGCATTGGATGTTATCTAGACATTCATGATTACTGTCTGTCAGTAGTCATTAACCTAGTTGTTAGTGGAGTGACAGAAACTACTGACTTAGCTAGGCGAGTCTTCATTGCACAATGTTTTGCTCTTGGCATATAGTGATCAAGGAAGGGTGTTACAAGGTTTGGTGGTGATAATAGAACAGGGATTGGTTTTATTAAAGTTAGGTGTCAGACCATCCTTTTGAAGAACTGCAGCTTCTAAATATTTTCTTACTTTGTCTTATCCAAGCCAGAAGAAGTGAATTACAGTATTACAGTGGGTAAGATGTGATACTGGCATTATAGTTTCTCTCAGTATATTGTGTTTCCTGAATTCCTGTGTAGATATCAAGTGGTGCTTTGTCCGTGTAATTGACAATCTTGAACAGGGAGTTTTCATTGCACCCCATTTTTGTTTAACTTGTTCACAAAATACCTTGGTACCTTGACTTACGAGTGCCCCAACTTACGAGTTTTCTGAGTTACAAGCCGTCGCTTGGTCGATTTTTTGCTTTCAGTTACGAGCCAAAATCTGAGTTATGAGCAAGCTTCAGATACACCGCCACTTGCAGGAGATACCGAGGAAATATCAAAAACCTTGATAATAACCAATGTGTAACATCCTTTCAATTTTGATACCACTGGTAATGTCATCCTGCCAGAATGTTCTATATTGTATGCCCAACCAGCCGGGTGGCCAGTTGCCTGGCAGGCGGCTGTCTGTCTGTATCTGTCTCTATCCCTGTCTATCTCTATCTCACAGGTACACATAAATACAGTTATACATAGTGTAAATTATCTAGGATGACCCAGAAAATCCAGACAGTGCTATACTATGTTTGTAGATATAAGGCATAATAAGCATGACTGGCAAGTAATACACATTTTCACTTGTTCATGAATCAGACGTGACGACTGCATCGTGTGTAATACCTCTTGGTTCATGAGCGGCTTTCTCTCTGAGACAGAGAGATGAGTAGAGACAGAAAGACAGATAAGCATAGACAGAGATAAACATAGAGTTAGACAAATAGACAGAAACAAGCAGATAATGTTTGTGTAACAGTGAAAAATAGTCAAGGCGGTGCACGATCATTAAATGTCACTCCACTGCTGCACTCTCAGCAGTGGAGTGACACTCATCTTACACCCTACTTCAAGGAGTTTCATATATATTCCAGCATTTCTAAAACATTGCTGGGACTTGGCAAAAATCATTTCTTATTTATAAACCTGTAACAAAAAAATTGGGGTGGTTTTTTGGGGGCTGGAATGGATTAATGGAATTTCAATAAATTTCATTGAGGAAAATTGATTTGATATACGAGGATATTGAGTTACAAGTTCAGTCATGGAATGAATTAAACTCACAAGTCAAGATACCACTGTATATGGAATGACACTTGACATTGTCAGCCCCCAACCTCATCCAACACTTCCTACCCATTGTTATGAGGAATATATAGTCACTGTTTTCTTCCATATGAATGCATCAGTTTCACACTTAAGTGAAACATTGGCTTGATTTTAGAAGTGGATATTTTGTTATATATTATCTCTTGGTTGTAAAATCTATATGATCTTTTATTTTTCATAAATACTTATTTTTATTTACTACTTAGTTGCACAAGTGATCAGGTAAATTTCTGTTTTCACTGAATTATAGTTACTACTAGTTATTTTAGTTATTACTAGTTATTTTAATTTTAAGGAGTCAGGTTTGTAATGTATTGGTTATAAACATTTCTGTTTTCATAAGGTGCAGTGTAGACATTGAGATAGAAAATCAGTAGATTGCCTACATTTTAAAAAATAAAAAAAAATTTAGATGATGAAGTAGGTTGTGTAAAGGATAATCCTTCACCAAAATTTATATTTCATGCTTTATTTGCAGGATTGAAAATGAAGAATAACCCTAAATTTGTAAAGCATTATTGTACACTATTGAGGTTCAGAAGGTATCAAATTTTTTCTTGTTTACCAGGCAGAGAATGGTGTAGTGAAGCATCCTATGACCGTTGATACCCGAGCAGCTTTCCAACAGAATGGTTCTGCAATTAAGCTTAAAAGTGGTGAGTTATTTTATCTTGCTTCATAGAAATATTAAATGCTGTAGTTATACACTGCATGCAACTTGGTGTTTACTAATTGACAAGTTCATGATCTGGTCATATATTTCATTACAGAATTTGATAAGTAAAAAAAGAAAATATCCAATATATTTATTTTTAATTTGTGTAAATTTGAATCCTGGGCTCAAAATCTAAAGCTAATTTTTGGTAATAAAATAAGTATGCAATAAACATTTTACAAATAATAATCATTAATAACTTGATCATATCACATGAACTTGAAGACTTTCACCTTGACACAGCTACCTAGGCTGGTTAGCTCAGCAAATCTTACACAAGAGACTATATAATGTTAGATGAATGTTGAATACACATTGCTTATTTTGCTGGATGTATCACAAATTTTGAAAGGAATTTTCCATGTTATCCAACAAGTGCACCTTTTAAACTTAACTATTTCTGTTATCTATTCATTCTTTTCTAGCTATTCAGTGTCTTGTTAGTTATCCCATGACCACCACCATGATAATATGGTGACTATAATCCTGTCCTCCAAATGTAGCTATTACTATGGAGTGGCAGCTAGTCATTGGAAGGAACTTCAGTCTCAATTAGGGATGGGGCAGTACCAGAATTTTTGCCAGTACTGATATATCTAATCAATATTAAGCCATTACCTGTAGTCAGAATTAGCCGATATCCACCTTTACCACCACAGTTAACCGATACTCAGTTTTAGGCTGATATCATCAAAATTAGCCAATTCCACTGATTCCGATACTTTGGCATATCCCTAGTCTCAAACCTAATTTGGGGAATTAGGTGTCATTACTCTCATTCTCGTCACCGTGAATTTATCGTTGCTTTGCCTGTGTATCAAGCATACATTTTTGAATCATGAGCATCTTCAAGTAGATGAATTGATGGACTGAAGTCATAATCTCTAAGCAGAGGGACTTATTACTTCAAACTCCATCTTCCTATTTTCCACTGTTTTTCTCTGTATTTGATTAATAAAGGCACTGGTTGGTGAGGTGTTTCCACAAAGATTCTCAAGTGTTGCATACGTTTTATTCATATAGTACTTATCAATTTTGCTAAATCATTATTATAATGGACATTATTCAGAGGTCAACACCTCCCTGTGTGTCTGAAGCAGGTGATATTGATAAGGTGTTGGAGTGTTCATCATGTATGGCTCATCATTTTTGACATTTCTCTGTGACCTCTTTGATATGATCCCTTAAGTTTTTGAGTACCTTCCACTTTCTGCAGTTTTACTTTTCATTTCCATTTGGTCTCTTGAGGTTCTTAGTTTTATTTACCCCTTTTCCACAGGCATATTTGTGGTTTGGTGCGAAATAAGTCACATCTAGGTCAGAATGGTAATTGAATTAGAGAAAAAATGTATAGTGCTGATACAGGTCTAGATACAGTATACTATTTGTATAATTCTTATACCAGTATACAGCACTAATTTAATTTTTAATTCTTTGACAGTTTGTAACTTCCATAGTATTACTATAAACTGTGGTTTGTCTTGAAATATTCTTTGCAGTCTTCTGTTTGTAGTTGTTTCTTCCATAACTATCAGTAGTGGTGTTATTGAATATAGAAAATTTTGGCACTAACTCTCACTCTCACTCTCACTGCATTTGTTTTCTGTTTTCCTTTTTTTTTTTGTTGTAAAAAAAAGCAAAAAGGATTGCCTTTGATTTTTGCATGCTTGTACATGTGACTGTTGACTCTGGCAGACTACATGGCTCATGTGATGCGCGACAACCCTGCCTTTGTGGACGATGATGGTATCTCGTCATACACCCGAGGTGAGGAAAATACTTTATGCTTATTCGGTTTTATTTTGTTTTAATTTTGCAGCATAAAAATTACACTGCTCTTACCTTGTGATTTGAACTCTTAGAGCTCATATTTGTATTCGTTGTTTAAATCACTATTATTGAATAATATTTTTGTATTGTGAATAGTGTGCACTGTTATCTTAACACAATATGAAAAGGATAGTTATTAATATAATTAATGCTTTTGTAATTATATACTGAATGTTGTACGTTGTTACAAGTTAGTGTAGCATCTTTGATTTTTTTTAACTTTCAAATGAAAGATTTCAGATTAAAGTACTCTGCATAAATTATCATGTTAACTGCTGTACCCATACACTCCTCTATTCTCCACAGATAAGCCTGTTTCCAAACAAAGATCAACACGTGGCCCCACAATGGCAGAAACAGCATTACCTTGGAAAAGATATTCTGATGGTGAGTTGCAATGAGTTATTTTTACATGTTACTTAATTTTACCTGTTGTCCACTGTTTAGTAACTTGGGGTGGACACGAAACCCTTTGCTTACTCTCTCTTCCTATGAAGGGTAAACTGTTGTATGTTTGTTTTTTTGCTTATAAAAGGATAATTTCCCATTACCTGTTCTGCACTGCAGTTTAGTGAGCCTGAGGTTGTTGCCCCCTCGTTTCCACCCTGTCACTACTCATTTGAGGAGTAGTGTAGCATATCTCGCAGCTTGTGCTAGTGAGTGGATTTTCATCAGGGATGCTTTTATTGTTGCATAAACAATTTACAGTGATAAAATGTAAGATCTCCTTCATGTATAGTATTAAGAATAACATGTACACTGGCATGTTTAAATTGCAGGAAAATCCAAAAAAAATAGTAATAGAAGTCATATACTGTACAGCTCTTATTAAAATAAATTATCTTTAGGTTTTTGTAACTTGAAGTAATGAATTTTAACTGATTCCAATCTTTTGAAAATTCAGCATTTGGGATTATTCCAAATTTAACAGTGCAAGCTGATAGGTAAGTTGATTGTGGAACAACAGAGCCTTGTTTACCACATGATTCACTGTGGGCCTGCTTGATCTAGATTTTTTTCAGAAACACGGGGAGGTTATATGAGACCCAAACAGTTGTATTGAGGTCAAATTTTGGCAAGTGGCATATTTGAAGGTACAAAAAATAAAAAAAATTGTGCATGCTAATACGTCGGATACAGTCATCACCTGCGTACTTGAGTGATGGACTTGGTTGAAAGGTTAAAGGAGGCCCATTTAAAATTTAGGACTTTTTTCAATTGATACATAAGTATTTTACTTGCTGTTAACATTGGAAAGTGTAAGACTCAGTAATATTATTTATACTTGCAGATGATGTTCCTACATCAGCTCAGAAAGTGAAACGACAAATGAGTATCGTACCAGATGATGGTGAGTAGAATTTTTTTTTTTAATTTCAACATCCTAAATTTGGAATGAAATATGGTTGATACTAATAAAACCAGCAGTTTGTAGAATAACATTTAAAGAAGGGTAGGTGCACTGGAGGTTAGACAAGTCAATACAGTTCCAAGAGTGCATGCTGTGTATTATTTAGATAAGTTGAATACTATTGTAGACATGCATCACTGACTAGCATTAGATTGCAAGAAAAGCACCAAACTTTACCATTTACTGATGGCAAAGCAGAAGCACATCAGACAAAAAATTCCTGATATGTAATACAGAAGGTACTTAGAAGGAAAAGTGAAACACCACATACAGCAAAGCTAGTGCAACAGATCAACAGCTGATAAAGACCCAGAGGTGGCATGTGCACTAAGGATAGCAGAGTAATCTGAGCAGGATGTTTAAAGGCAGACCATTATGGATGATCACCTTGGAGAGAGCAAGTGAGCCAGTGGAAACAGGAATCAACAGTTCCACATAATATGGTTTGGCTGAGGAAATTAAATAAGTTTGTTGAATTTATGAAAGATGGAGAAGTGAACAAATTAAATGTTAAAATACTGAGTAGTCACAGAAAGAAGGCTTAGGAATTTTTAGTCTTGGAAGTCACAATTAGAAAACCATAGAGAAGCAATGAAGAATGTTGAGTGACAACCTGAAGCACAACCGAGTCCTATTAACCCTGTGAGGGTTGAGATCTCTGCTTGTAAACTTGCTCCCAGGGTTGAAGTATTTAAAAAAAAAATATATATATATATGAAATGAAAGAAAAAAAATTTTTCCGAAAGAAATGAAACCAAAAACCAGGAATTTGATGGAAAACTTACGGAATTACGCTCTCGCAGAGTTAGCGGTCTTGGCAATATTTACGCATCGGTGATTTCTCCCACTTTGAGACCTATTTTGGGCCAATTTCATTGTTCCAGTCGACCAAACTCATAGCTGGTTAGCTAGAACTCCTTTTATTCTATCAACTGACTACAAGAAACTGTCCATTTACCTATTTCATCTACCCAGTAAGGTGATCAGAAATTACTAATTTGTTCAGTTTCACACAAAATTCAAGGTAGGCCAATTTCAAAATAGGGTCCAGAATAAATAATGTAGACATTCCTGGCACTAAAATAACATTTTCTCTGTTCATTAGTCATGTCTCCAGACCCCTCTTATATTACACTTGCTTTTCATTTTGAATTTTTATTCATACAAAAAATAAAGATTTAGTGTTATTCAGACTACTGCATAATGGTAATAATTGTATAAATAATGTTAGTGTATTCTTGAGTGCATATTACACTGGCCAGTTGACGTTATCAGATGCTTGACATGATTTGTTTACTCTTGAATATCTGCAAAAATCAAACATTTCTGCTACTTTGAGCTCAATTTCCAGCTACTTTGTCTGTGCACCATTCAAAATCATCTCTACTTCTGTGATATATATTCCATTCTATCAAATGAGACCAAGAAACCGAGATTACACCCATAAAAACCATATGAAAATACACCGAAAAGATGCTGTTTTACACCAAAAGCACTGTCAGTTTTTTTTTATCATTATGTACTGTGCGCTGCAGGATTTTTTTTATGCTGTACATACTGGCCACACAGACCCATTCTCTCATATGTAGGCCTACCAAATTTCTCCTGCAAGATTGGAAGCCAATAGAATTATGGCTTCAAAGCTGTAATATTATGGGACCAACCCTGAAAGGGTTAATAGTGTACTGTAATGAGGTAGCTATAAGCTGATAGTTCATATTAAACCTGCACTATAGCAGTCATTAATATACAGGGGAATGGGGGGGAAAACAACAACAGGGCCTTTTCTTTTTTCACTGATGGTAAGTAGGAACAAATTGCATGATGTCTGGGGTAGACAAGGGTTTAGGTGTTACAATGTCATACCCATTTCTTTTAGCTACTATATTTTCCTGTAGGTGATAATGCCACACCCACAATGGCTGAAGCCTCGCTACCCTGGAAGCGACTAGAGGAGGAAGAAATTTGTGACCAGCCACTTCGACAGTCTGAATTCCCAGCTTGGGCATCAAATAAGGAATATGTGTGCTATTATTCACCTTCCAGTACTTTCCTTGGTAAATATTTTTTTTTTTTCTTTTAAGGAAACTCCTGATATAAATTTTCTGTGATAAATAATAATCTTTTGAAAATATCTTCAGATAATGAATAATATTGTAATTGACTCATCACTAAAATATCACTTTCATTCCATAGGTGGCTTAGGGAAGCACGAATCATACCCTAACATACGTGAAATTTTTGGAAGACGCAGCAGTAGCTCATCAGTATCTTCCCGCCGTGGATCCTTAAAAGATCAACACATTGGTGCCAAAGAGAAGCCTCCCTCAAAACATTACCTTAAAGAGAGAGTTTCTTCACGTAGCTCTCTGAATGAATATATTTCACACACATCACCATTACATCATCCTGATATGTCTTTGCATATGCGTCGACATTCTTATACGGGAGAACACTCATTGCTTAATACAACAATTGCAGAGGAGGAAGGACGACGTGATACAGTCATCGACATGAACCCAGATGGAGAACGGGAGCAGACACGAATGTAGCCTTTATTTTCTGTAGGAATGCTGTATAGTTTTTCCCTTTTCATCGATATTTTCAGGAAAAATTGTAAAATCTCTCTTGGTCTTAAATATGGACAGAAAGATTTTATGTGCCTAATTTGTAACATACAGTAATAGTGTAAAACAAGAATACTTTCTGAAAGTTTTCTGTGATTTGTTAGTTCTTGTTATATACTATATAAAAAAACTGGAGAATTTTATAAAAAATTTAAGTTGTTTTGTACAAATCAGTACCTATAATTCAGGCAAGTTTACAACAAAAATTCTTGCCCATTATGTGTAGATGTTTATTTTTAGTACAATTTTTTTGTGTTCAGAGTAAATTTCTTTTATTTTAAAATTATTTTTTAACAGGATTTTATTTTCTAGTGCTCTGCACTTCCTGCAAAATGAACAGGTTCTGTCCTGAAAAATACTTTGAATTCTGGTACATGTCCCTGAATCAGATCACACACTCACTATTGCAACTTGTTCTCTGATGTGTCTTTCTTGACAAGACATTTACACAAGTGTGAATGTGTCTTATCTTACACTTCCTCTTTATATAACAAATTTTTAACTTATTTCACAGTTGCATATCTCATTTTAAATTTTACTTGAGGCAGATATCATAAAGCTTGCTAAAGTGATTCCTATATTTAGTTATTAATTAGTTGTATTAGCTGTTATGATTTGAAGCAGCATTGATCCACCCACACTGAAATGGAATTACAGTAGATCACCTTTCTCGACTCCACCTACTTCACCACCTATCGGTTTGGTTTTAATAGTTAAATTATAATTATTTTTATTTTTTTTCTAAATGTATGCATACTTTGTGTATGCTCATTTTATGCATGTATTGCAAGCTCTCATCTGCTTGGTAGATATTGGTCAAGAACGATAGATTTTTACATTTGCATTTTCGTTAAAGCTGAATTATTAGCATTACTTTTCCTTGGTTTGTAACCAAGTGCGTTCATACTTTGCATATGATAATTCTAAACACGTATAGAGAGCTCACATTTATTTGAAAGAGATTGGTCAAGAACCACAGATCAATAGTTGAAAATCATGAATGGCTAGATGTTCACCACTTGCCATCTTAAGAGATACTAAAGTAAGGTGGCTGGCACATTGGCTGCCTCACTTTCCGCTGTCCTACTTTTGCGTTCACTATTCTTCTGTTATCACCCTGTCTTATCTCTGGATATTAACCATTGCATAAAGGAATAAAGTACTAGTAATACTGGAGGTGCTAAGAGGAGGAATGAGAGTGAAAGTCTGAGTTTTTTTAAAAGAAATAAAAGAAAACCTTGCAACGAATTAGTCCCAGGCATTGTATTAACTTTGTTCATTTTCTTTGAAAGGAGCAAATATCCATTTTCCAAGGAAGGAATATAGGGTAACCGTGTTAAACATACACTTCCCTCAAGAACTTCAAGTTTATTTAATAAGCTAATTATTTAGGTTTTGGGTGCACATCATAGTTTTTATTTTTTCACAATTATCTTTTTGGGCACATATAAAGTACATTATGCAAATTTAACTCTGAATAACTCGTGTAAGTTATTGTACATGTTTGAGGGTGTAAACCTCAATACAGCCAACTAGTAGGGCAACATAAACCTCTCTCCACACTTTTCTAGATTAATAATTTACATTTACAATGTAAATCGTCAAAAACATTGATATTGATGATTAAATTTGAAAAAAAAAGCTTGCATGGCTTTTCTTGAGGTGGCATGACACATAACTCAGATTTTCCCATAAGTTATTCAGTCCATCCATCGCATTTTCAGAAACCCTGTTTCTAGAAACCTAACTGCTGGGAAAGGTGGTTGTCTGCTGTATTACATTAGACAGGTCTTTAGTAATTTCTTAGAAATAACAATTAGCTGCTTCAACACTTAAAAAAAAAAAATGAGAATTAGTTGAGTACTGATTTTTTTATTTAATGTTTAACTATTCAGGCTTAAAATGCTTAAGCAAAGAAAAGTTCGCCTTAATATACAGTGGAACCTCAGTACTTGAATTTAATTTGTTCCAGAGGGCTGTTCAAGTGCCGAACAAATTTTTCTCAACCAATTTTGTCTTTGGTTGACTGTTTTCACTATTCATCTGCAATTGCAAACAGTATACATCCTTCCAATTCAGTGGCACACCGGTATACAGCTGGTATAGTGGTGTGCAACTGATGGGCAGGAGGTATACCTATCTCATGAATTCAACTTTTAAACACACACACACACACACACACACACACACACACACACACACACACACAACACACACACACACACACACACACACACACACACACACACACACACACACAGGGAGATCGACTGGGAAAACCTGGAGTCACATGGGGGTCCCGAAACATGGAGAGCCAAGATGATGGATGTGGTACTTGAAAACCTCATGCATCACATGTCAGGGACACAACCAGAGAGAGAGGGGAGGATGAGCCAGCAAGACTGGATCTTGTGTTCACCCTGAGCAGTTCAGACATTGAGGACATCACTTATGAGAGGCCCCTTGGAGCTAGCGATCATGTGGTTCTGAGTTTTGACTATATAGTAGAGTTACAAGTGGAGAAGGTAACAGGAACTGAAGGGGACAGGCCAAACTATAAAAGGGGGGACTACACAGGTATGAGAAACTTCCTGCAGGAGGTTCAGTGGGACAGAGAAATGGTAGGAAAATCAGTAAACGAGATGATGGAATATGTGGCAACAAAGTGCAAGGAGGCAGAGGAAAGTTTTGTTCCCAAGGGAAACGGAAATAGGAAGACCAAAACGAGTCCTTGGTTTACCGAAGGTGTAGGGAGGCAAAAACTAAGTGCAACAGAGAATGGAAAAGGTACAGGAGGCATAGGACCCAGGAAAACAAGGAGATTAGTAGAAGAGCCAGAAACGAGTATGCACAGATAAGGAGGGAGGCCCAGCGACAGTATGAAAACGACATAGCATCGAAAGTCAAATCTGACCCGAAACTGCTGTATAGCCACATTAGGAGGAAGACAACAGTCAAGGACCAGGTGATAAGGCTGAGAAAGAAGGTGGAGAACTCGCAAGAAACGATCAAGAGTATGTGAGGAGCTCAACACGAGATTTAAGGAAGTATTTACAGTAGAGACAGGAAGGACTTGGGGGGACAGACCAGATGGGGACACCAGCAAGGAATACACCAACAAGTGTTGGACGACATACATACAGATGAGGAGGAGGTGAAGAAACTGCTAAGGGACATCGATACCTCAAAGGCAATGGGACCAGACAACATCTCCCCGGTGGTCCTTAGAGAGGGAGCAGATATGTTGTGCGTGCCACTTACACAATCTTCAACACATCCCTGGAAACTGGGCAACTACCTGAGGTATGGAAGACGACAAATGTAGTTCCCATTTTTAAAAAAAGGAGACAGAAAAGAGGCACTAAACTATAGACCTGTGTCATTGACGTGTATAGTATGCAAAATTATGGAGAAGATTATCAGGAGAAAGTGGTGGAGCACCTGGAACGGAACAGGAGTATAAATGCCAACCAGCACGGATTCACGGAAGGCAAATCCTGTGTCACAAACCTTCTGGAGTTTTATGATAAAATAACAGAAGTAAGACGAGAGAGAGAGGGGTGGGTTGATTGCATCTTCTTGGACTGCAAGAAGGCCTTTGACACAGTTCCTCACAAGAGATTAGTGCAGAAGCTAGAGCATCAGGCGCATATAACAGGAAGGGCACTGCAATGGATCAGAGAATACCTGACAGGGAGGCAACAACGAGTCATGGTACGTAATGATGTATCACAGTGGGCACCTGTGACGAGCGGGGCCCACAGGGGTCGGTCCTAGACCAGTGCTATTTTTGGTATATGTGAACGACATGACGGAAGGTTAGACTCAGAAGTGTCCCTGTTTGCAAATGATGTGAAGTTAATGAGGAGAATTAAATCTGATGAGGACCAGGCAGGACTTCAAAGAGACCTGGACAGACTGGACACCTGTCCAGCAAATGGCTTCTCGAATTTAATCCTGCCAAATGCAAAGTCATGAAGGTAGGGAGGGCACAGAAGACCACAGACAGAGTATAGGCTAGGTGGCCAAAGACTGCAAACCTCACTCAAGGAGAAAGATCTTGGGTGAGTAATAACACCGAGCATGTCTCCAGAAGCACACATCAATCAGATAACTGCTGCAGCATATGGGCGCCTGGCAAACCTGAGAACAGCATTCCGATACCTTAGTAAGGAATCATTCAAGACACTGTACACCGTGTAGTCAGGCCCATACGGGATTTGGGAACCCGCACTTGATAAAGCACGTCAAGAAACAGAGAAAGTACAAAGGTTTGCGACAAGGTTAGTTCCAGAGCTAAGGGGAATGCCCTATGAAGAAAGTTTAAAGGGGAAATCGGCCTGACGACACTGGAGGACAGGAGGGTCGGGGGAGACATGATAACGACATATAAAATACTGCGTGGAATAGACAAGGTGGACAAAGACAGGATGTTCCAGAGGGGACACAGAAACCAGAGGCCACAATTGGAAGTTGAAGACACAAATGAGTCAGAGAGATAGTGGGAAGTATTTCTTCAGTCATAGAGTTGTAAGGCAGTGGAATAGCCTAGAAAATGACGTAGTGGAGGCAGGAACCATACCAGTTTTAAAAACTAGGTTTGATAAAGCTCATGGAGCGGGGAGAGAGAAAGGGGCCCAGTAGCAACCGGTGAAGAGGCGGGGCCAGGAGCTAGGACTCGACCCCTGCAACCACAAATAGGTGAGTACAAATAGGTGAGTACACACACACACACACACACACACCCCCCCCCCCACCCCCACCCAACCCCCCCCCCACCCCCACCCCCCCCCCCCAAACCCCCCCCCCCCCCCCCCCCCACCCCCCATCTCTCCTCTCTCTCCCCTCTCCTCTCTCTCTCTCTCCTCTCTCCTCTCTCTCTCTCTCTCACTCTCTCCTCTCTCCTCTTCTCCTCTCTCTCTCTCTCTCTCCCCTCTCCTCTCTCTCCCTCTCCCCTCTCTCTCCCTCTCCTCTCTCTCTCTCTCTCTCCTCTCTCTCTCCTCTCTCTCTCTCCTCTCTCTCTCCTCATCCTCTCTCCTCTCTCTCTCTCTCTCTTCTCATTATATATATATAATATATTAAAATTATTTAATATATATAATATATACACATATATATATATACACACCTACCTACCTACCTAAATTGCACCAAAATGGATAGGCCACTTACCTTTAACCCTTTGACTGTTTAGCGACCTCGGCGATATTTACAAATCGGCTATTTCGCTCACTTTGAGCCCTATTTTCGGCTAATTCCATTGTTCCAGTTGACCAAACTCATAGCTATTTCTTTAGAACTCCGTTTTTTCTATCGATTGAGTACAAGAAACTGCCCATTTACCGATTTCAACTACCCAATAACGTGGTCAGAAATTTGCAATTTGGCCAATTTCACGAAAATTAAAATTATGACAATTTCAAAATAAGGTCCAGAATGAACAATGCAGACATTCTCTTTGTTCATCAGTCACGTCTCCAGGCCCCTCTGATATTACTCTTGCTTTCTATTTTGAATTTTTATTCAAACAAAAAATAGAAGATTTACTCTTATGCAGACTACTGCAATAATTGTATAAATAACATCAACCCATTCATGACTGCATATTAGAATGGCTAGTTGAACATTTATTGGACAATGATATCATTTGTTTACTTTTGAACTTCGGCAAAAATCAAAGATTTCCCCTAATTAGAGCTCCATTTCCAGGTTCTTTTTATAGTAAAATCAATCAAAATCACCTCTATTTCTATAGTATGTTTTCCATTCTATCAAATGAGACCAAGAAAACGAGAATACAACCATAAATACTATACGAAAATAGACCACAAAGTCGGCATTTTAATTAAAAAAATGGTCGGATATTTTTTTTTCTCATGCACTGCATGCTCCAGGATTTTTTTTATATGGTGCACACTGACCACACAGACCCATTCTCTCACATGTGGGCCTTCCAGCTTTCTCCTGCTTGATTTGAAGCTGCTAGAATTTATGAGTATGTATATGTCAAACAGGGTACCTCGTAAAATGTAAATATACAACCATGACAGTCAAAGGGTTAACACTTTGAGGGTTGCCAGGCCCTCTCAGAGACTTGTTCTCAGGGTCGCCATAATTTAAAAAAAAAAAAAATTTTATTTTTTCATATGAAAAGATAGAGAATCTTTTCCTGATCATAATGACACCAAAATATGAAATTTGATGTAAAACTTATGGAATTATGCTCTCGCGAAGTTAGCGATCTCGACGATGTTTACGCATGGGCGATTTTGCCCACTTTGAGCCCTATTTTCAGCCAATTCCAGTGTACTAGTCGACAAAAATCATAACTATTTCGCTAGAACCTTTTTCTATCGAATGAGTACAAGAAACCACCCATTTACCGATTTCAGCTATCCAGTAAAGTGGTCAGAATTTAGCAATTTTGCCAATTTCACACAAATTTCAAAAGATGCCAATTTCCAAATAGGGTCCAGAATAAACAAGAAAGACATTCCTGGCACTAAAATAACCTTTCCTCTGTTCATTAGTCACATTCCCACACCCCTCTAACATTTCTTTTGCTTTCCACTTTGAATTTTTATTCTCACAAAAAATAGAAGATTTACTGTTATGCAGACTACTGTATTAGTGTAGAAATGGTATAAATAATACCAGCGCACTTGTGAAAGAATATTAGATTCACCATTTGACATGTATTGGACGCTTGGCATGATTTGTTTACTTTTGAACTTTGGTAAAAATCGAACATTTCTGCTACTTTGAGCTCAATTTCAAGGTACTTTTCATTGTAAAACCAATCAAAATCATCTCAATTTCTGTAATATGTCTTCCATTCTATAAAATAAGACTAGGAAAACTAGAATACAACCATAAATACCATATGAAAATACAGTGCAAAGTCGCTGTTTTAAACCAAAAACACAGTCAAAGTTTTTTTTTTCTCTA